TGCTGAACCAAACTGATTCAAACGCCGCTCTTCTGCCGTACTTAACTCATCAGTTAGGTTCGGCGCATGAATGGAGCGGCGTTTGGAACGGGCCTTAGTCTCCTTTAGGAGTTAAATGTAAATTTTCTGAAGAGAATCCCTGATTCTTTTCATATGGGAGTTCCTCCCGCCGGGTTTCCAAATGTCTAACGGGAAGTGAAGGAGTGAAGGAGTGATGGGGTGAAATCGTGCCAGCACTAAAACTTCGAAAATATATTTTCCAAGTTAAAAAGGTCAGCACAGGAAGTGATCATCAAAGTTTTAGAACGTTCCATCACTGTACATGTATTTAGCTGCCCTCCATTTTGACATCTCTTCCTGTTCAAGCCAAAAACAATTTAAAAAAATAATTCTCACGACGTATCCCGGTGAAGTCTAGTGTACAGGTCTAGAGAGTTTATTAACTGATCACCTATACCAATAACCTTAAGAACTCATTGGAGAAGTCTAAGAGAGATAATTTGTATGTTTTCAATGGACAATTCGTCAGTGATTGTATGACTGTCTGAGTAATGTTAACATTTGATGGTTTTGAACGAGACCGTGGAACGCGCGATGTTCAATAAAGTTCAACTCAATAATGAACACGTTCCAAGTATTTGTAGTAATCGCGACGGTTTAATTGCATAACACAGCAACAAGAGGACTTCTTTGAGAGATCGTTTTGTTTTGCTTGTTTTTTACAGTGACCTTTGTACGACATACATGTACCTTCGTAGTTTTCCAGTTGACTATAGAGATGGAAAGAGAACCTTGTTTGGAACAAAATCGTTTGCATTGCCATTCACTTTATCTTAAGGCCGCAAAGCACTCGCTGCCAAGAAGTGTATTGCTGGTTTTTATGTGGTTTTGCCATATTCTAAAATAAGAAATTACCTATCCTTCTGAGGTTTCAGTTTCATCAGATACAACACCCTCTAAAAACGTCGTGTTTCACAAGTGCGTTCAGTACCTTCCAGTGATAAGATCTAATCCTCTTCACAACAACAACAACGCACAATTAAGCATGTAGGTCGACTGAAACAATAAAATAAAATTAAGGAATTGCCATCAAGACCCATCAACATATTTTTTTGTCCAAGACAAAATTCCCTCAGTTCATAGAAATAGATATACACCATTTGAGAGAATTTGTGTGTCACATCTGGACAGTGTCAAAACCAACCAATTAAAACCATTGATTCGTACTTCTATCGCTGTTATTTGACCAAAACACTTGGTTTTTAATGGCGGAGTTTTCTTGGCCTTTTTGTTTGCTGCAAAAAATTACCAACTAAAATATGCTCGACATAGTCCATTGCATAATAGTGCAGTGGACACTGAAAAATAGAGAAATTTTAATCTAAAAAGAAGCAAAGATTAAAAGATGTGTAAATTTGTGAGATAATAGGTTGATTGTTTTCCTGCCGTGGGGTGATCAAGGCCAAAATAAATATCTTAGCAAAGCCAGTGAGACTTGAGAGCGCGAAAGCAAGGTAGTAGGATTAAATGCCTCTGAACAACAAATGTGCAAAATACCTGAAACACAAACTTAATTGTCCCCCACTTAATTGATTTGATAAATTTGCTCTTCTGTTGTTTCTTAAAACTATCAAAGTCTGGAATAACAAATCTAATGAACACTGACATTAATACAATCTTCCTGGATCACCCTTATGGGAAATAGATTCATTCTAAGACTTTTAAAGTGTTTAAAACAAACAGCAAACGAACGAACATTTATTCAGACATCCACTCTTAAAAAATGCAAAGCTCTTGCCAAATTGTCAAGCAAATTACAGAGGTTTTACCTTGTGATGTTTCGGCTCAAATCAGCACCAAGTAATCGCTACTTCTTCCTTTTTCTTCTTTACCAAACACCTGTGAATAAATCTGAAAGCTTCAACGTCAGATCAGAGGAAAGTGAAAGTTCTAATGAAGCAATTTTTAACTTAAGAGTGACTCGCTCTTCATACTCTAATTACTTTTGATAGTTTATTCCTGTGTAGTCACGTGACCTCTGTTGCCGTTATAAGAATAACAATTATCCGATGACCGTAGTTTCAGCGATAAATCAAAGCCCTTACGACAAAAGATTGTTTACAATACATTTAACCGGCAGACCGTATAGATGGCTATTTTTGAACTTGGTAGACATCTAGAATTTCCCTTCACTAAATTTAGCATCCTGCCACAACACGAATCGATTTCCTTTATCTTTTCTCCACTTTCTGTTATTTTTGATTTGATTTTCATTGCTTTATGTGGTTTTTGTCAGGAAGCGAAAAAAGAAAAAAATGCTGTGGCTTGGATTGAAATTGCTCTCCGTCTCATTTGAAGAATTCTGATTTAATTCCGGCCCTTGCTAACTTTGTGTTTCGCACTTATTTACCATTAATTTACCTTACAGTGATCAGATCTAATCTCTCGTTATAACAACAATGCAAACTCAAGCCTGCAGGTCGGATGAAATATGGAATTGCCATCAACGAAATTATTTTGTTACTAAAACAAATTCTCCCAGTTCGTACTGTAAGAAATACATATACACCAGTAGGGAGAATTTGTGTGTCACATCAGGACCGAACGAAAACTTACCAATTACAACTGTTCGTACTTCTATCTATTGTTTATTTTCCACTAAAAGAGTTACAATGCCAGAGTTTTCTTCGCCCGTTTATTTCCTGCAGGAAATCACCAAAATGTGATCAACAAAGCCCACTGCGCAATCCGCAACTGGCAAAGCCTAAAATTCGCAATTTTCTCAGACGGTTCTCTTTCCGACTGGAAAATCAATTTATGCACGGCAAATTTGAGAATTCAAAGACTTCGAAATTTTCTTGTTGTGTTTGCAGAGACTGACACGACATCTCTGGAGTTCGTATACACACTTGGGATAATTTGCAATGATAGCGAGACGAGTAGCTTGTATGCACTGTACTCTTACAATCGTCCTGTATGGCGGAATCAGTAAGACCGTCCCAGAAATTCTAAAGTTTACTTTGTTCTTTGGTTAATGCCGTAAATCCAAATTGTAAAGCAAACGAGATTGAAATTAGAATGTGCTCTGCGAAGCGTTTTTTGATCTTCTCACATTCCGAACTCTCTGCAATTTCAATGACTTGTCATCTCAGAATGCTTTAATCAACAAAAAGGTCAGCACAGGAAGTGATGATCAAAGTTCTAGAACGTTCCATAACTATACATGTATTTCGCTGCCCTACATTTTGACTTCCCTTCCTGTTTAGGCCCAAAACAATAAAAAAAATTATGATTTGTTTTTTCACCGATTTATGTATGTATGCATTATGTTCTTGTTAAGTACTGGACCGTTGTAGAAAAAGTAGGCTTGAGGAAAAAAGTAAAAACTAAAACACGGTCTTTTAAGTAAAGCGCTCGGTTTATCATTGTGGCAACTGCTTCAATCTGGCTTCACCTTATAGACAGATCAGCATCTTATTTCTCACGACGTATCTCGGTTAAGTCTATTGTTCAGGTCTAGAGAATCTATTAACTGATCACCCATACCAATAACCATAGGAACTCATTGGAGAAGTCTAAAGGCTGGTTTCCATATGATCGCAGACGATCGCGGATCGCGGATCGCAGATCGCAAAAAGTTCTGCGATCGTCTGCGATCATATGGAAACACACT